CTGATCCTAAAACACATATATAGATAAATCAGCCGCAATAGAAACAAAACTCAGCAACAACATAATAAATAACCCAGCCACCATATCAATAACTCAGCCAAAACATAATCNTCCCGTGCTTGATCTTCAGAAATAGCCATCTGATCCTAAAACACATATATAGATAAATCAGCCGCAATAGAAACAAAACTCAGCAACAACATAATAAATAACCCAGCCACCATATCAATAACTCAGCCAAAACATAATCAATAACTCAGCCAAATCATAAATAATAAATAACTCAGCCACAACATAATATATAACTCAGTCGGATCATAATCAATAACTCAGTCACTTCATAAATCAAACTCAACTCAGCCACACTATACAATAACTCAGTAACAACATAATCTATAACTCAGACACGTCGTAAATCAAACTCAGGCACAACATACCAGAGAAGATGAGAAGATGATGTTGTAGATACGATTACGTCGAAGCTTTTGCGGAGAAAAGGATGTCGACGAAGATGATATCAGAGACGGTTAGGGTTTAACGAGGTCAACGAAGATGATTTACGATATCGGAAACACTGTTTGAAACGAGAGTATTAGTTGTGACGAAGATGATTTCGGGATTTCGTGATTTCGTAATCGGTTAGGGTTTAACGAAAGTTGTGACGGAGAAGAATGTTTTTTTTTGTTCACCGGAGATATGGGACTGTTGATTTTCCAGTGTAACTGTTGATGACACAAATTAGTTAGTGACGTGGTTTGTCAAAATTATGATGTGGATTTAATAATTAAAATTTGTATCAATAGTAACAAAATTAAACAAGGGTGTTTATTGTAATTTACTAGGAGTCCAAAAATATTCTAGTAATTTTTAAAAATTGTATACTATTCTAGTCATATACAAACTTTTGTGTATCATTCTAGTAATTTTCTCTTAAAAAAATTGATATAGTACGAATATTTTTATGTATGGCCATTACCATATGCCAGTTTGATGTATGATAACTATGATGCATATTATAGTATGAATCAACCACACGCAAGAAGAACAATTTACAAAAACTTTTTTTTATTTTTACTAAAAACTTTTTCTCAAAACTGCTATGAATAATATAAAGAGGAATTACTCATAATGACTCAAATTTATCTTAAAATAATTAAAATGACTCATATAAAAATTTAAATACTATACCCAATTCAGATGCAGGTAAATTGACTAAAAAATTCTTCTAATTTGCAAAAAGAAAAAGATAAACCTTAAAGATTTTTTTTAAAATATAAACATAAACTAAAAAAGGGAAAAGGGTTTTTAATTTTGTCGGGTCTCTCTATATCAGACGATGACGACTTCGACGACAAAGGAGAAATCTCCAATCGCGTCTCGCCGTCGATCTTAGCTATCTCCGACAACATCTCCTCCGTCTCAGCCCCCTCTCGTCGTCTCCTCAATGATACCATGGAGTTTTTTTTTTGCTTAAAATATGCAGTTTATCAACTAAACGATTAATAGAGAAGATTAGGACATTTGTATGAAAAATTCTAGTAGATGTCAATATACTACTAGTTAATATAGCTTGAAGCTGTTGGATATATTCCTCAAAGAAGAAAAATAAAAGAAGAAGCGCTCTTTGTCATATAAAATAAGTTAAATTAACACATTTGAGTGTTTTATTCCTCCACAGATTCCTTTTAATTTGAAGTTCGAGATTTATTGGTTTACATGATTTATTAGTTCGAGATATACGTTTTACTACAGGATGGAAGAAAGTGTTCAAACCACCATGAAATGAACAACTTGAGAAAGAAGAAAAGAGGAGTGAAAAAGATGACGACAGTTACTACAAAAATAATTAGTCCTAATTGTGGTCTTAAACTAATAGAAATAAACCAAGTTTGAAATAAACCAAAATCGGATTAATTGGAGTAAACCAGGATTAATTCCGAATTTAATTTCTACTGGTTTACTAAAACCCAGAATAATTAAACAAATATGTCACTACGTAAACTAACAAGTCGGACACGTCGTAATGCAACAAGTCTGTAACATTTGTAAATATGTGATAGATTTGCCTTAAGTCTACCGTAGGAAGAATAGACTTCTATACAAATCGGTCATAATTAAACAAGTCTGTCTTTGGAAACTAAGTCGATCGCACAAATATGTGGTTTGATACAAATCTGTGGTTTGATACAAATCTGTTGTGTCATCCGACAGATATATTTAAGAAATCGGTTTTTTATACAAATCAGAAAAAATATAGACAAATCTGTTGTATCATATAATAGACATTTTTAAAAACTCCGTTGTTCGACAGATATGTTTTCCCCAAATTAAATCTGCCGACGACCTAATTTGAGGGACCCTTATTTTTTGGTATAACTATAGCCACGGATAATTCTGACCACAAAAACATTCTAATAATTTGAAAAAAAAATATGAGTCATTCTAGTAATATCACCATAAATTAGAGTCATTCTAATATTCTTCCCTAATATAAAAATACTTTTATATGTATTTAACCAAAAGTGTTTTGTATAAAATGATTTAGAATACCTTTTGTATAAGTGTGCTTGCTTTGCAACACTTATAGCCAGAGCAGGTTACGAATGGGAACAAAGGAATGTTTTTGAATGCATGACTTGCATTGCAAATAGATATTCATCCGACAATTCGTGGTTCGATTTGCGTCAATGTGACCTTGTTATTGCACCCAAAAGCAACGAGTTTGTTATTAGCGCTGATGAGAAAAGGAGTTTCAGTAAAATTCACAAGCTCTTCGGTCATTTCTCCGCTGCTGCTGTCGCCATTAGACCCCAAAGAACTTACCCTAGTTTTAATGCGGGGTGACCCCGAAGGAACGTACTCAACTAAGTCATCTTATTGCTTTAGTGGTCTCGGAAGATCTATTTGGACCACTTCCTTGCCGATCTTGGGCAGAAACGGGACGAAATTCTTGCACTCGACCTCGTACCAATCATTATAGTAGCAACCGTGCCCCATACCGTATGGAAATGGTATAGAAATCTTTCCACAGTGCCTTTGGCAAGAAATTGAAACAATGATTTAAAATAAAATAAAAAGGAAAAAATAGTTGAGGAATAAAATGTTTCATTTCACATTTAATATCTTTTAAGTAATGAAATAAAATTAAAAAAGGAAAAAATAGTAATAATATCAGAAAAAGTTTTTATTTTATTTTATTTTTATTTTTAACACTGTTAGTAAAACATTAAACTCTAAATCCTAAACCCTAAATCGTAACCCTTAGGGTTTACAATTTATCTAAGAGTTTAGGGTTTAGTGTTTTTAAGATTTAGTGTTTAGTGTTTTTATTTAGTTTTTAAGATTTATTCAAGGGTTTATGTTTTACAATTATGTAAGAGTTTAGGGGTTAGAATTAAAGGTTAAGTGTTTTTATAATTTAGTGTTTTTGATTTAGGGTTTATGATTTCTTCGAGGGCTTAGGGTTGACTAAAAAGTTTAAAGTTTAAGATTTAGGGTTTAGTGATCTGCTGATGGTGTTAAATATATTTAAAAACAAAGTTTTTATTTGGTAATTGTTATTATTTTTTTAAAAAAATATAATATAACGTGACAATTTTTTTAAAAAAATATTAAATATTAAATGAAACAACCCTATTGGTTGGTGAACGTAGAGGTTCACCCTAGGAGGTGAATCCAAGAATAAGTCGAGTTTTAAACCCGTTAATTAGATTGAATTTATATCTTCTCGTGATTTTTCAGTTTGATGTACGAATCAACCACACGCAACAAGAAAAATGTATAAGAATCTCTTTTATTTATTTTATTATTAATTAAAAGGCATAATAAAAAGACTTTTTAAGAAAAAGGCTTTTTATTAATACAAAAAATTATATGTATTTAACCAAACTGATTTGTATAAAATGTTATGAGAAGAAAATGAGGTGCAGAGAGTAACTATGTATTATCGTCGTATTATTTATTGTTGTACGATGTTTTAGACATATGGTTATTTTGTGATGTGTAATAGGCACCATGTTTATTTAATGTTAGAGCTAGACTTACATAGTCGTAACACTATGTACTGAGTCAGTGATTTGAGGTTTAACATCCCATATCAAAATAAATAAATAATATGATTAAAGAATAAAAAAATGTCATATAAAAAAAATAATGATGATGGATTTGATTTTTTTTTAAAGCATAATAATTAATAACTTAGCATAATCACCAAAATATCCATAATATGATTATGTCCGCATGCATGCGTGTCGACGAAACACTTAGGAGTAGTACAATATTCAAAATGATGAAAAAAGCATACAATTAAACCTCTATAAATTAATAATATTGGAACTTTGAAATTTTATTAATTTATAGAGATATTAATTTATGAAAGTTTCCTTATTTAGATTTTTTCTATTTTTATTTATAAAATAAAAAATATTTGATTTTAGCATATGTCATTATTTAAATTTTAGAAATTTGACTTTTATATTATTTTATTATCTTATTTGGTGTATATTTTTATGTTTCATAGAATTTTTACATGGTTTGCAATGTAATTAAACTATATCTTATCAAAATATATTGAAATATTTAAAAAAATAAAAGTATTTTTATAGTAAATATAAAACCCTAACTAAATATTATCAAAATATGCTGAAATATTTAAAAAGATAAAAATATTTTTATAGTAAATATAAAACCAACAATATAATGTTAGATTATACTTATATAAAATTATATATAGCTAGATTATTAATTTATGATTTTAGTGGGACCATATATTTACATGGAAGTTTTAAAAATATTATTATCTTATTATTTTATCGATTTGTGTCATATTTTACACCGGCCCAAGTTGGGACCGGTGAAATTTATTAATTTATAGAGATTATTAATTTATCGAGTATTAATTTATAGAGGTTCTATTGTATGTTTAAATTTCATAGTTAGACGATAGCAGATGCATGGTTGGAGGAGAGAAATGAAGGTTCAGCGTCGGGACCACACAGAGTTCATATCGCGACATCAATGCTCAACGGTGCTCTGCTTGTGCTAGCTTCTTCCTTGTCATTCCCCGTGGTTTTGGTATCCGGATGGGAAGGAAAAGTCTGTTCCAGCTCCAGGGAAATGACAATCATTGTGGGGCGTTTCTCCCCCTCGAGATTCAGACACGAAGTCGCAATGTTGGCCAACACCATGACTTGTTCGAGGTCACAATCGTTTCGGATTCGCGGATCCAAAATGTCGAAAAGTCTATTCTCTTTCATTGCTTCGAGGAAGAAAGATGCTAAAGTAGTGTCTCCTTGGATAGATGGTCGACCAGTTATCAACTCAGCCAGAACGACGCCGTAGCTATACGCGTCACTCTTTTCACAGAATCTGCCGGACTGTTGGTATTGGGGGTCGATGTATCCAGGAGTACCCGAAACCACCGTCGTCGTCATGTGGCTGTGTTCACCACCAGCTATGTTCACTCTAGACGTACCAAAGTCTGCCAACTTTGCTCGGAATTCCTCGTCAATCATGATGTTCGCAGACTTGATGTCTTTGTGGAAAACAGGAGGTGAAGCCAGAGAGTGAAGGTACGAGAGGCCTCTGGCTATATCTTTAGCAATTCCAACTCTCATTTCCCATTTTATCAGCCCATCATCACTTTCTTGTTGATGATGAAGACGTTGAAAGAGATTACCGTTGGATATGAACTCGTATACTAACAATGGCACCTTTGTCTCTAGACAGCAACCAAGAACTCGTACTACGTTCCGGTGGTTTAACTGAGACAGGATGATCAGTTCATTTATAAACTCCCCAACTCTGTCTTCGTCCAAGACCGTGGATTTCTTAACTGCTACGATCCTACCGTCAGTTAACATTCCCTTAAACACAGTCCCTTGGCCACCTCGCCCAAGCACCCTCTCCAAACTGAAGCCTTCTGTTGCTTTCTCTAACTCTTTTGAAGTGAATAACATAGTGTTATTTTCTATAGCGCCTTCCCTTGAACTCAACTGCTGCTGTAGTAACATACCACCATTTCGCCTAAAACACTTTTCCCTGAGCTTCCTCTTTATGTGCTTTTTGATTAATTTGTATACCCAAAAGGCTGCACCTATAAGCAACACGCTTGAACCTACGCCAAACCCTGCAGATTGCACCAGAGGACAAAATAATACATTAATATATATATATATATAGGAATTATAATAAAAAAAAATGTATAGGAATCAAAGTAAATGCGAGGTAGGAAAAAAAAAGATTTGAGGATTAAATAAACGGAAAATTCTAGAAAGACTCAAATAATGGTGTAATTAGTACAATAACTCATTTGTTTCAAAATTATTAGAATGTTTTTCTGGTCAAAATTGTCATTGGCTGTAGTTATAACAAAAAAAAAATAATGACCAAAGTGCCCATCAAATTAGGTCGTCGGCCAATTTGTTTTCGGAAAAATAAATATGTCGCATATTAAGTATGTTTTCTAAATCGGATAAGAAAATATAATCTATCATAAAAGTGGTGGCAGATTTTTTTAAATCGTCAAATTTCTTTCTACCGCAGACTTATTTTTCCGTATAGAAAATCGATTTTTGAAATATGTCAGTCGGATGACACAACAAATTTGTTAGAAATGACAGATTTTTGTGATCGATTTAGTTTCGTATGGCAGAGATATATAACCAATTTATATATTCGGCAGACTTGTTGACTTATGAGGTGACAGACATTTTAGTTTACGAAGTGGCAGATTTGTTGATTTTTGAGTTAGCAGACTTTTATTTTACGAAGTGGCAGATTTGTTGCGCTAATTCTAGGTTTTACTAAACCAAACTATTTTTTTTAGTTTTTTTAAACGTTGTGGGCAAGTTTAATTAGGGATAATTTGTAAATTGATGTGTATCCCATTTGAGTATAGTATTTAAGTTTTAGTATGAGTCATTCTAGTAGTTTTAGGATAAATTTGAGTCATTCTAAGTAATTCTTCTAGAAACAAATTAGTAGTTTTAAAAACTTTTATAAGTTATTTTAGTAATTACTAGATAAATTTGAGTCATGTTAGTAAACTTCCATTTTTTTGTATAAAACTTTTATCTTACACACTTTGTATAAATATCTGCTCAAAGCTCAACCAAGGCATACATAACTTGATAGGACATGTGATTATGAAATTATAAATCTCTGTCTAAAGCCAAACCAAAACCAAGAAATTCATTATTTGATACAAACATATGATCATTCTCACGGAGCATTTTTGACAATTCCTGATATCATGGATAAAGATGGATCCATAGATTTTTGAATTTTCCACGCCTTTCGGCCCAAGCTGCCGGTTGTTTCTAGCACTTTTCCGGTGGTTTCTCCGGCCTTTTCCCCAAAACTGTATCCTCCCAAAAAAAAAGTAGAAGCATCTTATATTCAACTCAAAAATGAGTCCACAAAACAAACCAATATATGTATGTGTACATAAATTCATCCTCAAAATTGAGTGAGGGTCACAAAGTCAATACGTACCTCTTAGTAACAAGGTTAGAAGCAGCTTTGGATGTGGCAGAATGAGTTTGTATCTCTGCAGCTTCAGCAGCCCCAATTATTTTATCTATTGATCACATTAAACATCAACTATTGACTTTTTTTAAACGTTGACTCGAAAACTTTGAAAGTAAATGAAGATGAGTAGAGAGTAACGATTAATAGAGCTATATTCTATGCGACTTACCAACAGAATCAAGTGAAGCCAAGAGAATCTCTCCTGGGGCAGTGGATAACAACGCCTTCCCTAGCTTCGATTTAAGCACAGGAGCCATCATCAAACCGCTAATCATATCTTCAGGATCTAACACCGCGGTGGCTCCTAACGTCTCGCTCGCCTTACATAGTGCTTCCACTCTAAATACACGTAACATTCAACAAAGAAACCATTATTTAGCTAATAAAAAAGACACCAGAACCTAATTTTATTGTTTGATATAATATATATACTTTTGCCGGTTCTGGAGAAAATAAAACTAAAAAATGTGGTCTACCTTTCAATATTTGTGATGATATTATTTTTCTTCGGAATTCTATTGTTACCACTGTTTTCGTCAGTCTCTGTTGTGATAGTTATTTCACTTCCTCCCTTCTGAACCTGTTTTATTGGAAGATCAACTATAACCACATTAGATGTTTCATACATGTGTAGAAACTAGAAAGCTCACATTGACAATGAAAAGGGCATGTATAAAGGGAAAATAAAAGTGCACCAACTATTTAGCTATTTCCATAAACAATACAAATAAAATCCGATACGTGAATAGTTTTTACTAATATAATTCACAAACTTATAAAATATATCCATATAACACACTCCAATTATCTGACTTTTAAAGATAACTCTTTCCACTTATGATCAATTGGAATCTGAAGTAAATGTTCATGATACTTCACAATCACAAGCACTTGGCTTCATATTTACATAAGCATCATGGGAAGGAAGGAGTTATGTACTTATGTATATGCGAGAGAAATATCACCTTCTTAGAGAAAGCATTGCTACAAGTGAATATTCCTTTGATGATATGACCTGTTCCTTCGGCGATGGCCTTCGCCGCAACGGTATTGTATTCTCCAGCCTTCGGTGAAAACTCTTTCCAATCAATTTCATTGTTAGTTTTACTCAGAGATAACAAACAAGAATCATCCCTCATCAACTCTTCAAGAATCTCAAGTTTTTTTAAGACGTCTCCGTCTTGGCCAGAGAAAGTGACTTTGTACCCAAATGGACCACCGTCTTTAACCGGAAGCGTGAAGAGGTAGTCACAATCCTTGACTTTCACCATCGGCTCGTCCTTTACCACTGGCCATTGAAAGTCAAGTCCGACTCTGACAAGCATCGCTAGAGTGACACTATCGTCTGATGAAACTTTTACAAGTTTGAACTCCCCGGAGGCAAGCTTTAACGGTTCGGATGCATTGACGAGATGAACTATGCAATCAGGAATCTGCAACAAGACTAATTCTTTCATGTTTTGGAGAGATGGGATTTGCTGAATTGATGAACACATATTGTCTTATTCTTATTGCGATAGTATTAGTACGTAAGTGTGGTTTGTATGTGAGGCTTGTTTGAAAAAAAAGTTGGAAGATAATGACTTTAAAACCTTCACATTTGATCTTAATAAGCCAAAATAAGAAGTTTAACCATAGATTTTTTTATAGTTTTTAATAGGGAAGAAATAATTTGTTCTAATCCTCTATATGTTATTTAAAGGTCGTTACATAGTAAATTAAATAACTTTTGCGGCAATATTTACTTATAAGTTTGCCAGTTGAAGTTTCCCCTCCTTACATTTGTAATTAAATATTGCCACTAAAGTTATTTACTATGAATGATCCTTAAATAATATCTAGAAGATTAGAACAAATTATTTGTGTTTCAAAAGAATCTTCATGGAAATCAAGGATGCTGCTTTTGGTATCAAAAGTAGTAGTGCTCTTGGAGAAGATGGACTTACAGGTTTTTTCTATCAAAAATATTGGCATGTTGTTGGATAGAAAATTATTCAGGATGTTCAAAGTTTTTTTAAAACTGCTATTCTTCCTGCTAGGTGGAACCATACACAGTTATCTCTGCTCCCTAAAATTGTAAGCCCTACGGAAATGAAGAATATGCGTCCAATAAGTCTGTGTAGTGTACAATATAAAATCATTTCACGTATTCTATGTGAGCGACTGAAGACGGTCTTGACACATATAATATCTGAGACTCAAGGGGCCTTTGTGGGAGGTAGGTTAATAACGGACAATGTCATTATAGCACATGAATTGGTACATGCGCTCCGCACTAATGATAAAATTGGTAAATAATGTATGGCGATTAAGACAGACATGTCCAAGGCTTACGATCGGGTAGAATGGAACTTTATGTAAGTTCTATTAGAAAAGATGGGATTCCATCGGAAATGGGTTGCTTGGTTAATGTCATGTATTTCTACTGTCACTTTCTCGGTGTTACTTAATGGACGCTCTCATGGGTTTATTAAACTGGAAAGAGGAATTCGTCAGGGGGATCCTTTATCCCCTTTTCTATTTATTTTATGTGCCGAATCTTTAGTTCATGTTTTAAATAGATCTGAGGCGCAAGGGAAATTACATGGGATAAAGTTAGCAACGGGTAGTCCATCTATTCATCATTTGTTGTTTGCGGATGACAGCCTGTTATTGTGTGAAGCCTCTGTCAGTGATAGTGAAGAAATTTTGCGAGGGCTAAAATGTTATGGAGATGCGTCTGGCCAAATTATAAATCCTTTGAAATCTTCCATCATTTTTGGGAAAAAAATAGATCATGTGAATAAACAGTTGATCAAAGCGGTTTTGGGTGTAGAGAAAGAAGGTGGTGAAGGTTCATATCTGGGGCTCCCTGAATGTTTCCAAGGCTAAAAAAAAGCTCTACTAAATTTTATCAAGGAGAAATTAGAAGGACGGTTACAAGGTTGGTATTCTAAAACCTTGTCGATGGGTGCCAAGGAAGTGCTAATAAAATCAGTGGCTTTAGCTCTTCCGATATATGCAATGTCTGTCTTTAGATTACCCAAAGGTCTATGTGAACGAATTACGAGTGCGATCATAGAGTTTTGGTGGAGTAGTGGGGATAAGAAAAGAAAATCCCATGGGTTTCTTGGGAAAAGTTATGTAAACCAAAGGAACAGAGTGGTCTTGGGTTTCAGGATATTGGTCGTTTCAATCAGGCTTTACTCGGGAAACAAGCTTGGCGGATATGGAATAACCCTGACTCCCTGGTTTCTCGAATTCTTAAAGGCAAATATTTTAAAATGGAAATTTCCTTGATTGTGGAATGGGGACACGTCCGTCATATGCATGGAGGAGCATCATGCATGGCAGAGAATTATTAAAAAAGGGTTTGTACCGAAATATTGGTAATGGGACTAATACTAATGTTTGGGCTGAGAATTGGATTATCGACCCTATCCCACGGCCACCAATGTACCGTGAAAATAGTCCAATAAATTTGGCGCTTAAGGTTTCTGATCTGCTAAGGGCCGGGTCTAATCAATGGGATACTAATTTATTACAACAGACTTTTACACCTCAGGATGCCCAAAGAATATCTCTTTTGAAACCATCGCTGGTTTGCGAGGATTCGGTCAGATGGGGTTTCACACCAAATGGCTCATATTCAACTAGAAGTGGTTATAAGTTATTAGAGGTGGTAGTAGATTACGATCACCCTCAAGGACATTCGCTTACCCCTATTGAAAAGAGATTATGGCGAGATTTGTGGAAAATCAAAGCTCCACCAAAAATAAAACATTTTATGTGGCGGGCGTTATCGGGTGCTTTAGCTGTTAAGCAACGTTTGACTACTCGGGGTATTCCGATCGACCCTACCTGTCCTGTTTGTGGTACTGCGGATGAGACTATATGTCATGTTCTTTTCACATGTGTTAAAGCACGTGCCACATGGGATCATTCTAATGTCCAATTACCTTTAGGAGGTTTCTCTGGAAATTCCACATTTTTAAATTTTTTCCATTTACTGAAGATTACTAGGAAAGCAACTTCGGATATCCATACCAAAAACGTTTTCCCATGGTTGTTATGGGAAATATGGAAAGCTAGGAATTCTTTTGTTTTTAAAAATCAGGTTCTTGATTCCTCCTTCATTGCTACGCGAGCATATGAAGAAGAATCCACATGGTTTGATACTTTCTCAGGCTCGAAGGTTGATGTGGTTGATATTGACTTAGAACAGGTTCGATGGATAAAACCCCCTAATGGATCCCTAAAATGTAATGAGGGATCCTCATGGATTAATCCAAATCAGCCGAGTGGTGCAGCATGGATTCTCCGTGATGCTAATGGAAACACGATCATGCATAGCCGCCGAGCCTATTTCTACATGCGTACAAAAACCGAGGCCGACATGTGGGCTCTTTTTTGGGCAGTGGAATGCTTGCACAACTTACATTTCTCGAATATCATTTTGGAGACTTCCTCGGAGTGCTTACATAACGCTTGTATGAATCCAAATGGAAATCTCAGCCTCAGCCACATCAGTCACAGCATCCTTTGGCTTTTGACAAGAATAGATTCATGGAGTTTGGATCATGTTCTTCCACAAAGAAACGAAGCTGCAGCGGCTATTGCTCTCTCTGTCACTCGAGATAAGCGCCACCAGTCGTATATCGCCCGGAATGCTCCATCGTGGCTTCATCACTTACTCGCTTTATAGGCAGTGTAAGAAAGGGTTTGTAAGCTCCTCTTCTTTTCCCTCTTTAATGGTGTCTTCTGACATCTTATTTCTTTGTCTTTTTTATGTTTTTTGTATCATTTTTTCGTTTCGACGAACCTTGTACTCTCTTAGTGTTATAAAAAAAAAAAAGAATCTTCATAAACCCCATCCTAAAATTTAGAAAATGTCGATATACTTTTGCCACATATGCAAAAGATGTGTTAGTGAATATTATTGATCGAAGAAAAATATGGAACAATATATACGATGTATTTAATGTGGCAAGATAATCTATACTGCTAAATATTTTTGGCATTCAAACTCTCAAAGTTAAAAATTAAGACAGTTAAAGTATTTATTACTTTTAATGAATTATCATTAAAATTCTTGATAAAAAGTTTATGAACAATAAATTATTTTAATCGTATTTGAACTAGTAATCTCCTATATACGAAAAGAGAAACATTACAACATTTGAGGTAGTCACTTGTCATCACCACAATGATTCTTATAACTTTTAGAAAAATACGATGGTACATTAAAAGATATAATAAGCTTTTCATTACACTAACGCTAAATTAATTATTGAGATTCTCAATTCTCTCCTTAGATAAAAAGTATGAAATTATCTAATGTGGTTAAAGTATATATGACAATTAATAACTTTGATAATAAAGATTTGGTAAAAATTATTGTACCCCTTATATCATTTTGTTTGAGTTTAAATTATTTATATAATCAAAGTAATCTTATAATAAAAAATTATATTTTTTCTATATATTATATTTTGAATTTTTTAAAAGTCTCAAATTGAAATTTTATGATTCCATGTTTTAAATTTTGCTTATGACAAGATATAAATGATTATAAATTCATATAAGTATGAAGTCTCATTTCATAAATATCAAGATTAAATATATATATATATATATATATATATATATATAAAATGCATAAATATTTTAATTATGCAATTTTATTTGAACAATTGTTTGGATAAAAGCTTTGAACAAATACTGACAACTTAATATTACAGTTAAATTTTGGATTGAATGTTTTTAAAATTATAAATTACTAAACCTTTTAAACAACACACAATGAAAATTTTATTACCAGTGCTTTAAAGTTTTTGTTATAAAAATATACAAATCATAAGAAAAACACAAAAATGAGCAGAAAATAATAGTTTAGATTAATAAAATTTCATTTACATATTTGCACAAATTTAATTATATACATAATATTTATTGAATTTTTAATTATCCAATATATATATAAGAACATATAAAAAACATATAATATATAAAAATAATTTGAATATACAATTTTATTTTGTGCAAGGCACGGATCTTAATTTAGTATATTTATATATGTAAAGTTATTATGTTTGCAATTGTTGACCATACATCTAATAGTATAATTTGCTAATATTTAAAATTTTATGGATATATACATTATTAATATCTTTGTTGACCTTGCCTTGTGTCTAAATTTTATGGATATCTCACTTGAGATTCACCTATTACAGAAGCAAATATGAAGTTTTATATGAAATTTTTTAATCATCTATACATAAATAGATGTGTTTAGTTTACTTTGGATTCTTACTGCATTTTTCTATATTTGTTTTGTTAATTCTCATTGTTTAGAACTTTTGACTTAATAATACAATACAACTTAAAAAACATGTCACCAAATATAAACTTGACTAAGATCGTGGCTAATCCAAACAAAAAAAATATTTTAACCACGATTTAGACCTGAATATTGTGAAATAACAAACTAAGTCCCACATTGGAGAATCAGACAAAG